GAGCGCGGGGCGGATACGCGCGTCGGCGACGCCACCGACGTAGAGGCCGCCGTAGAAGGAGTGGTGCGAGTCCAGGAAGATGAGGCGGTACGCGGCGACCTCGGCGACGTGGACGATGGCCGACTGCGCCGCGGCGCGGGCACGGTCGAAATGGCTGGACGACGGCGCGAGGTGGCGGTTTGCCACGGACGCCAACGCCGCCACCGGCGGCGAGGTGCTCCCGCCGTGCGAGAAGAAGGAGAGGGATTTGTCGAGCGCCTGGATGTGGCTGAGCAGGTAGTGGAGGGTGTTGAGCCGGATGTAGAGGCGCTGCGTGCCGCGGCTGGTGGACTGGCGCGGGTTGTTGCCGCCCGACAAGGACGCGCTCTGGCTGTGGTGGACGCGGCCGCGTGGGCTCGTCCCAGGGTCTCGGCACGGCGTCGCCGCCCTCTTCCAGAGCCTGATGATCTTCGAGTCCTGGTTGCACCTAGTCAGCGGAGGCAGCGACGGGATGTAGCTCTGCTTGGTGCCTGTTTGTTTGTTGAGCCAAACACAAAAGCATGTAACACGATGGCAAGAGCTGCATAGGCTGCAGGTTTCAGTGCAGGTCGTGATCGTCAGCATACCACAAGACGCGAGGAAGGTGATGTACTCCTGAAAGATGGCACCCAAGCCGTCGGCGACGTTCTGAACCATGTCGTCCCTCGCGCTCACTGGGATCCCGAAGAACTCGTCGACGGTGGCCTTGGCCAGCTTCATCAGCTCCACCGCGGATCGCGCATATGGCTCGCCTTTGGACTTTGGGATCCAACTCTACACGACATGAGCACACCGTTAAGATTTCGTATAAGATCGAATCGACACGGATGTGTTGATGGACAGAGACCTCGGTGTCTTTGGCCTTCAGGAGGCACTCCCTGGCGATCCTGAGCCTCTCCTCGATCCAAGTCCTGAGGAAGCGCGCCACGAGGGACTCCACGTCATAGGGGACGACCTCCCTGACCAACGACCTGCCACCGTCGTCGCTGTCCGCCACGTCCTCGACCATCATCGGCACCAGGGCCTTCTCGAGCCTGCCCGCCGCGTGCAGCACGTGCACGAGCTCGTTGGTCAGGCACGTGGCCTTGGTCACGTACTGCTTCAGCACGACGCCGTAGCAGCTGTGGAGCGTGGCCACGGCGGCCGCGCCCGGGAACGGGTGCCACCGCTTCAGCACCGGGCTGAAGTTGTCCAGCTCGAACTGAGCGAGCTGCTCCGTGTCCTGGGCGAGCCGCGCCACGATCTCGCTGGGGTCGTCGTCGCGTTGGATGATCATGCTGTTTCCTTGTCCAAGCTCGTTCTCCAGTGTCTGTGGTTGCATCAGATTTCTCAACATCTTGGCACGGCATTGACATTGTGGCCACGTATATACGTACGTTGCTAACCTTGGTGAAGACATTTCTCATGGAGCACCTGACGTAGTGATCCACGCGGTTGCCAGCGAAGCTCCCGATGCCGTCGCCTTCGTGCTCGGAGTCTGCCAGAGCGATGCCCATCCCAGGCACACTCTCTGCGATGATCTTGCTCGTGGAAAGTGCCAGCGACAGGGCACTCACCGTCGCCCCAGAGCCGGTGGCAGCCACGCCTTTCCCGTACCATTCATGGTAATCAAGCAATCGTTTCTCCGACCAGTCATGTATCGCCCCGAGAACGCTGGAGAGCACTCGGGCGTACACCGGGTCACGGTCCTCCTGCCTGGCGTCGGCTGCCGCGTCACCGAGCACCGTGAGCGCGGCGCCGGCGAGGTCCGGCTCGATCTGCCCGGTGACCACGTACTGCTGGAAGAGTACCCAGGCGAAGCACACGTTGTGGACCATCTTGTCGATCCCCAGCGTTGTCCATGTCCGCCTCATGAGCTCCAGGAGCTCATCCACCTCGTCGAGCACAACGGTCTCCTCCTTGAGGTCGAAGATGGCCTGGAGCAGCGAGACGTAGAGGATCACGTTGAGAGGGTACCCGTCGGCCCAGTGGCAGGCCTCGCCCGGGGGGCCGGTGCCGGGAGCGGAGCGCCAGGCGAGGGCGAGCACGGCGTCGCAGAGGGTGCGCATGGTGTCCGAGGCCTTGCCGGTGTCGATGGCGCGCGCGTCGGCGGCCTGCGCGATCTCCCGGAACCGGAGCACGGGGGCGTTGAGGCGGTCCAGCGGGAGGGACGGGTGGTGGATGAGGCCCGCCTCCAGGAGCTTGAGCTGCCGGCGCTGCCACTGGTGGTGCTCGCCGCCGTCGGCGAAGTCGGCCTGCTTCAGCTGCCGGAGCAGCTCGAGCGGCAGGATGATCGTGTCCGCCTTCTTCCCCACCTGCAACGTTAACCTGTCATCAATTCTAACCTTTTAAGCGTGCATGAATGCAGACGCGACGCGCATCAATGGAGGTGCCTAAACCATGCATGGGTGTGGACGGACGGACCTGGCCGACGAGGGTGCGCATGAGCGTCTTGCGCAGGCGGGCGTCGCTCTGCTCCGGGACCCGCATCTGCTGCCGCATGATCTCGGCCGAGGTCATCGGGCGCCGGGACTTCCCGGGCGACCCGGGGGCCTGGTCCCTCACCGAGCGCATCCGGCCAGGCGACCCCGGCGCGGACGACGACTTCATGCTGCTCCGCACGGTGGTGGGCTGCGACGACCGCCGCGCCTTGAGCCCCAGCGCCCTCTTCACCCTGCTGCTGACGACATTCATCCCCGTGCCGCCTCTCGGGCCGGCCCCGATCGTCGGCGACCCGCCATCTCCCCCGCCGCCGTCCCCGCCCGACGGGTAATAGTTCAGTCCACCGTCTCCTCCTCCTCCCCTGCCCCCGGCCGCGCGGCACGACATGAAGAAGACCTCGTACGCGGCCTCCCGGAGCTCTGCACGGGAGAGGCCATCGACGTGCCCAAAGGGGCACTCGACGGTTTCCGCGGCGGCTGCGACTGCGGTGGCGGTGGAGCCGAGGCTGCGCACGTCGAGGTCGGCGGCGGCGGTCTCGGAGGAGCGCGCGAAGGAGGAGGCGGACCGCGAGCGGTGGTGGTACTGGAGGCGCCCCATTTCGTCCTCTTCCCGCGTCCGATCGAGCAGCAGCGCGTGATGCCTCTTTCGGCCTCAGGGAGAGGGCGGGGGGACGCCAGGAAGGGGAGGCGGGCGGCTGGCATATGGCCGTGGCCGCTTGCCGCGCCGCCGTTCCAGGTAAACATGACAGCTGGACCTGAATCCGCCAGTTATTCTTGGGAATTGGGACGGATGGACCTGGGTGGACTTTCCAAAAAGGGCCTGTTCGGTTCGACACGGGCCCTGGACCCGTAGGCTCATCTGAGGACAGTAAGCGCGCGTGGTCCAACCAACAACAAGCCTCGTGTGGCTGCAGCCCAATTCTTCTGTTTGATTTGTCTTGGGCTAATGGGCTCCAAAAAAAAAAAAAAAACTGGGTTTCTACGAGTGAACTACGGAAGTGGCCAGATTCTAGCTTTTACAGGTGATTCCTCTAACGAAGAAATAAGTGGAGAAAACAACACGTAAAGCAGTGGCTTAGCCAGCATTTGTCGGCCAGAATCACTAGGGATTGGATCAAAACTGTGCGGTTCACAAGGACCAACCGGGAGCTCCGCCATTGAGGTAAAGACAAGTGATTCTTATCCCTTTTCACTGAGCTCTTGACACATACGCTAGTACAAGGCTAATTGCTCTTCTCTTGTGCCGTTTCCACTAATTACAGAGCTGAAGCAATGATCCCTCAAAAGCTGATCAATCAAAGGAGCACAAGTCCTCCTCAGTGGTCAATGGTCAGTAGTCAGCATTGTAGTGCTGGTCCGGATTCAGCAAACCACTCAATATGTTTTCAATACTACTGCTACTAGTAGTTCCTATCCGTGCCTCGCCGTAGATCACTACTGATGAGAAGACTTTGGAGGATTGGAATCGCTGACAAACTTTTGTGAGCTGCATTGATCGATGAGGTATCGATGTATGACGACACCATCACGTCACAAATCGACCAGTTCATGTCTATGTATCACTCATACATCAAGAATGGTACCGTACCCGTATCTGATAACTTCTCAATAAGCCGATACGCCCTGATACTTCCGCGTATCGGGAATTTAAAAAAAGCTAAAAAGTTAAAAGATTTAATTCCCGATACTTCAAGTTGCCACTAATCACATTGGATAGGCTTGAATTTGAGGTTATGATATGTGAACACGAGACACTGAAAAGATAGTTTGGATACAACGATCCCATATTTAGCTTATGTTGAGCATTATTCATATTTGGTCTTGTGGTAATTTTGAGCCTGAGTTAATGCTGTGTCACTCTTGTGGCTCGTTGATTTGTTGAATTTGAACTGATCCCGTATTTAGCTCATGTTGAGCATTATTCATATTTGGCCTTGTGGTAATGTTGAACTTGAGTTAATGTTGTGTCACTCTTGTGGCTTGTTGATTTGTTGAATTTGAACTGTTTACTATGTTTCATGACATACTATATTTATAATATTTTTGCCTTTTTCTATGACATATTAAGTTATTTATTCTGTATTAAAAAATATACTTTTTAATATACCTGTGGTATGGGTATATCGGGGATTTTAGAAAATTGTCGTATTTCAGAAAAGCCACGGATCGATCTCTAATTTTTGTGTGAACGAAGGATTAAAAGCCTTATGAGAAACACCTGTATTTGTTTTGCCCTGCGTGTTGACAATAGTACATCAGTGACCATTGCATATGTCACTCCTTTCTGCAAGAAACCTATGTCTTGTTGATGAGCTAGAGGGCTTTTTGGTGTTTTCTTTATCCTCATTTTTTCCTGTGATGAGACGGGCTTCGTCAGGGCTTCTGGCCGATCCGGTGCCGTCACACAAACACTACTTATGGGTGTAAATCCTGTGCTTTTTACAAGGGAGGTGATATTAGAGCTGCAAAGTGGTTTCTATGCTTCGCAGCGCGTACACAAAACACGCGTCGACATGCATGGCTGCTCTTCTTCGCCTTCGCAGCGCAGGCAGCAGAGTGTCGTCAACCCAGTGGCTCCACCTGAAGCTTGGCTTTCTCGGTCTCCAGGCCGATGACAATGTCGATGGTGTCGGTGGACTGGGCCTTGTACCTGTACCTGGTGCTGAGCACGAGGAAGACGACGAAGTTGACGCCGCCCAACACGGTGAGGAAGGCGTAGTAGTAGTCGAGGTTGGATGCGTTGAGGTTGTTTATGACCCAGGCGTTGCCTCGCTCCCTTGTGATGCGCGTCACCGTGGACAGCAGGAAGCTGCTGAGGATGTTGCCGATGCCGTACGCCGTGAGGGACATGGCGGTGCCCAGGCTCTTCATGCCCTCCGGCGCCTGGTCGTAGAAGAACTCGAGCATGCCCACCACCAGGAACGCGTCGGAGAGGCCCATCAGCACGAACTGCGGCAGGAGCACGAAGATGGTGAGCCCCAGCTGGCCCCCCGTCACGTCCAGGCCGTGGCTCCGGGCGTAGGCCAGCCTCCGGCTCTCGATCACCGACGCCACCGCCATGGTCACCACCTGCAGCACCATGCCGGTCCCCAACCGCTTCAGGAGCGTGATCCCGCGCGGGTTCCCGGTGTACCGCCGGACGGCCTTCACGAACACCCGGTCGTACACCACGACGGACACGAGCATGGTCAACGTCACGAACGCGCCCAGGCTCGCCGGCGGGATCTCGAAGTGCGGGCCCATGTGCCGGTCCATCGTCGTGCCCTGCTTCACGAACAGGGTGTTGGTCTGCGCGATGAGCGTGCACGGCACGAACATCGCCACCAGGGGCGGCATCAGCTTCAGGATCTGCTTCGTCTCCTCCACCTGGGTCACCGTGCAAAGGCTCCACATGTCCTTGTCCCTGTTGTCGTTCACGGGCACGGCGGCCTTGTTGAGGAACCTCATGTCGTTGGTGGAGTCCATCCTGAACCTGCGCTTCCTCCTGTACTCCTCGAGGTCCAGCTCGTGCAGCTCCTTGGCGTCGGCCGGGACGGGGACGCTCCATTTCCAGAGCGCGGCGGCGATGACCCTGCCCATGCTCGTGAACGCGCTGCCCTGCGGCACCTTGTGGCGGTACAGCCTGGTGCCGGCGAGGAAGATGGAGATGGAGACCATGAGGCCCAGCGTGGGGATGCCGTAGCCGATGGACCAGCTGACGTTGTCCTGCAGGTAGACGAGGACGGTGGAGGAGAAGAGGATACCCAGGAAGATGGTGAACATCCACCAGTTGAAGAAGGAGAGCTTGTGCATCTTCTCCCGCGGGTCGAACTCGTCGAACTGGTCCGCCCCGATGGTGGAGATGTTGGGCTTGGTACCACCGTTGCCGAAGGCTATGATGTAGAGCCCGCCGTAGTAGACACCAAGCTGCAGCGCCGACGCCTTCGGGCACACGCCGGCGGCGTTGCACGGCGGCGGTTTCAGCGCCGGCAGGGAGACGGAAAGAACCAGCAACACCATCCCCTGTGTTACATAGAGTACATTGTAATTGTTCTATTGCACCACTTTGAGCTTAACATTTCAGGTCAAAATATATTTAGAAGAAAATTTGCTTGCTAAAGGCTATGTAGTTTGCTTGTTAAAGTACTATGTGGAATTGTCAGATTCCGGTGAGGACTGAGGATGGCATGAGTCGTGAGTCTGCTGAATAAGGCCAATCTATCTATATGGAAAAGATGATTACAAGATTGGTTACAAATGATTAAGTAATCGCTACTAGATGCGCCACAAAAAATATGTTATAAAGTATAAAATTCACTGACAAGCACGTGTTATAAGAAAACTATAAAGTGGAGGTGAATGGTCCCATTCGCTTCGCTGAAAAAATTAGCCGAAACATTGTTCCGCTGATTTATTGTGAGAGAAAAACACTGTTCCAGCTAAAAAAAAAAGTTAAAAAAGATGGATTATAAGAAAAGCGAACATGACCTATATTTTGAAGCGGATAGGGATATGAAAAAGCTCAGTTTGGGCCACACAGTCCTACTCCTAACCAGAGTTCAGAGAAAGGCAGTCCTTATCATGAATTCATTGGTACCCATGGTTCAACCCAAAGGGAATCTAGGTTGGACTTAAGTTGATAGCTATCTCTAACCTCTCCCTCTCGAGTAGGCTACAAGACGCAGTGTCTTTTTTTTTTGGGTGATGGTGCCCCCGCGTACTGTACTGATCCGTCGGGCGAGATCTTGGTAGACTCCAAATATTCCAAAAGACTGAGACAATACCGACGCTGGCTGCCACTACTACGATGGATTCAGAAAGCAAGACGGTGACGCCACGTACGTACCGGGAGGGGCCCTGGCCGGCCCGCCCACGCTCGCTCGTGCATTGACTGTGGTGACATGGTCTTGTTCGGTGGTTTATAAGCCGTTCGTGTCGATTTATACATCTGATTTATTGAAAAAAATACTATACCATGACTGATAAATCGGTTTATATAAACATCCGAACATTTCACACTTGCACCAGTACACGAGTACCGCACGATGGTTGCACTTGCGCTGTCGTACTGACACTGGTTTAGTCCGGCCAGCGTCAAAGCAAAGCGAAGCCACGTTAGTCTCGCTTCACTAAACCTCATACTGTAGCTGAAAAGGAGGACGACGCAACAACACCCATAGAAATGTCCTGCTTACATTACACTACTCAGCATGCTTGCTCCGTCTTAAACCCTTTCATTTACAGTGCTAATCACTGTGGAACCAGAGATAAGGGCGCGTTTAGATGCAAAAAATTTTAGGTTTTGGCCTACTGTAGCACTTTCGTTTGTATTTGGTAATTAGTGTATAATTATGAACTAATTAGGTTCGAAAGTTTCGTCTCGCGATTTCTCACCCAACTGTGCAATTAGTTTTTTTTCATCTATATTTAGTACTCCATACATATGCCGCAAGATTCGATGCAATGGATATTGCGCAAAAAAATTTAAGAACTAAACAAGCCCTAAGTTTACTACAGTGTGGTGCGTCAATCGCTGAGCTTATCATGAAATGGGTGTGTGGCTAGAGCTATCACCTGTCAGAGTCCAGTCGCACACGCTAGCTCGGTCCATGCATGCGATTTGCAATCATGCAACGAGTCAAGAAGGATCCACGGATAGTTGCTTGGAATACTTGAGTCCGGTTTGCGAATTGCGACCTGACGAATGACGAGCATACGCCGGTCCAAACCTCATCAGGTTCGGACCTGCACGATGACGGAGGTGCCTGGTTGCCTGAATCTATGGCATCCAACAAAAGTCACAGGAACAGGATAGCATGGTGTATACGGCGCTACGACGTCGTGCGCATTGTTCCTATCCTACTAGTACTAGGAGGCGGCCGGCCGTTGGATGAGGGGACAAGAGGGACGGAGAGACATCGTCGTCGGTCCATCTGTGGATGCTCTATGTGGTTATTGCACTGAACCACTGAAGAATACACTGCAAGCCAGCCTAGACGAGTAGGATGGCCTCACCTCACCTCACCTCACCTCACCTCACCTCACCGACGCTGCTGCTACTATTATCGGCTCTGATTCTGCCATAGTTTTTTCCTCTCACAACAAATCACAATAAATCAGTATAAACATCAACATAAATCAAATTTCAGCGAAACGAACAGGCCATCGATTCACCGATAGCGTCCCTTCTCTTAGCAACATTTTCTAATTCCATAGTTCCATTTTGGGGACTTATTATATAAAGGGCAAAAGGAGGATCAGCACTGCCTGCTTGCAATCATATATACGACCGCAGACCGCAGCTCTTCCTATGAAGTTTGTCTTAAGCGCCTGTGCTATACCGTGTTCTTGTTCTATGTTTCTAACATTTTTTCTGGAAAAAAGAAACAGTCTCACAGTTTCATTTTTAATTTGTTGAGGCCGACCCTGTACCTATGAGCAGGCAGGGCACGCGTGTTGTGCCCGTGGTGGAGCCATTCTGCTCTGCTCTTCTATTCAGTCGATCAGAACTCTGTGGACGCTTTTGGTACGTGTGCCGGTCAAACTCGCTCGCTCGGCAAGGCCGCGTTTAGTTCGCTGAACTTGGCGCCGCCCGATTTACTGTTCATTCCGTTAGCGCACGGTAGTATTTCGTTTGTATTTGGTACTAATTGTTTAATCATTGATTAATTAGGCTCAAAATGTTTGTCTCGTAAAGTACAGTCAAACTATGTAATTAGTTTTTTATTTTATCAATATTTATTACTCTATGTATATATCTATGTATATACCGTAAATTTAATGTGACGGAGAATCTTCTTTTTACGTAGTGCTAAAGTTTAGATTTTGATGGAACTAAACATGCCCTTACCAGCATGGGATACAGCGTTTTTGGCTCATTCTTGCTGGCGAGAGGAATCCTGGAAAGCGCGGAAAACGAGGTAGCAACTACTAGCAATAGCAAGCAAGACAACAAAGCGCGTGTTTAGTTTTAGGAATTTGGAATTTATTGTAGCACGTTCGTTTTTATTTGGCAATTAGTATTTAAATATGGACTAATTAGGCTTAAAACGTTCGTCTCGTAATTTTCTACCAAACTGTGCAATTAGTTTTTTTTTCGTCTATATTTAATGTTCTATATATAGACCGCAAATATTCGATATAACAGGTATCTGTAGCACTTTTTAGAATTTTAAGGTGAAACTAAACCAGGGCCAAACGTGGCAAACCAAGCCATGGCATGGCAAGGACTCCAAACACGCGCGCCCGGCCTCTGTTAGTTTCTTTCAGTTTCAGCTAGGGATGAAAACGGTACGGATATTTTCCGACCGTATTCGAGACCGAATCTGTTTAAAGGGGCTAAGATATGTTCGTATCCGAGTCCAAATATTCAAGCCATGGCATGGCAAATCACTCCAAACACGCGCGCCTATCCGCCTCTGTTAGTTTTTTCAATCAGAATCAGCAAAACATGGTATCCGCCCATCCGCTTTCATTTTTCAGCACATGGTATGCCCAATTTCCTCGATCGATGAGCGCGCAAGGTTTTTTTTTTTAAAAAGTTTTCCCAAAAAATACTACAGTAGTCATCATATCGAATCTTGCGATACGTACATAGAGCATTAAATGTGGATGGAAAAAAAACTAATTGTGGTGGGAAATCACGAGACGAATGTTTTAAGCCTAATTAATTCATGATGGAACACTAATTGCTAAATAAAAACAAAAGTGCTACAATAGTCAAATTCACAAATTTCACCCAACTAAACCATGCCTAACGCAAGCAAGGACGACATGCATCCCAGGACAGGCAACAGCTGATGAGCTAGACAGGATGAGTTTACAGCTAGCTACGGAGCAACGGCGACAGGAGCGGCTGGTTCACGTACCAGGAAGTAGATGGCGGAGCCGAGGACGAAGGTCCAGTAGCGGCCGAGGTAGGCGTCGGCGACGTAGGCGCCGAGGAGCGGGGTGAGGAAGACGGTGCCGGACCAGTTGGTGACGTTGTTGGAGGCCTCCACGGTGCCCTGGTGGAGCTTGTCCGTCAGGTAGATGATGAGGTTGGACGCGATCCCGTAGTACGCCATCCGCTCGAACAGCTCGTACACTGCACGCACCAGGCAGCATATCACTCACGGCTCGCAGGGGCAAGAGGTCAAGAGTAAACAGGAACACAGCTAGACACCGCACGGCAGCAGGAAGCTAACACGTACCGACGATGAAGGAGCAGGCGGTCCAGCCGCCGCGCTTGGAGCGGAGCACGGGGTTGCCGCGCAGGTCCACCGACCCGTCCTGCGCGTACTCCGCCAAGCCATGCTGCGGCTTCTCCGTGGCCAAGCTCCCATGGTGGCCGGCACCGGCAGCAGCCTCCTCGTCGTTGGCAGCGGCACCCATCGGCACTTCGGCAGACAGCTAGCGCTAGTAGTAGCTTCGCTGTTGCGTCGCGCTCTCAACTCTCGGCCTCGATGGTCGCTCTCGGCCAGTCCCGGGGTACCTGCCGCCTTTATTTATAGACGCCAAATGTTGGTTCAGGCCGTGGTAATACACTGCACGTCGCCTGCCCAGGCGTCCCCACCACGTTTACTAGTCGATCTGGGGATCTGGACAAGTTTCACGGGGCACCGGCGCGACCTGCAGCTTCTACAGTCGCGGTGCGGTACCATCATCAGTGGCAGTGAGTAGCTAGCTGCGTCGGTCCAAGTTGAGGAAGTTGAGGAGAGCGAGCAGGTGGCGTCAATCGACAACAGGGCCTCGTTTAGATACCCTTAAAATTCTAAGTTTTTTTATTCTTTCCGTCACATCAATTTTTAGTTGTTTGTATGGAGTATTAAATGTAGGTAAAAAAAATAACTAATTGTACAGTTTAATTAGAAATCACGAGATGAATCTTTTGAGCTTAGTTGATCCACGATTAAACAATATTTACCAAATAAGATGAAAGTGCTACTATTCATCGGATTGAATTTTTTTTCAATCTAAACAAGCCTAGGTGTCAAGAGGACTGTTCTTTACTGATTCTTTTCCTAACCACAACCACGCCGGTACACTGGTACAGTGCTGGTACTGGCGTACTGCTGTGCTGTGCCAGTGGTTGCAGTTGGCCAGCGTCCGTGGATATTTGCTTCACGCGTGCGTCAGCCTCTTATATGATGATTCTTGCGACGGGTAAGACAACGCTTCTAGTACCTCGATCGGTTTGTCCGCCGCCATTTGACTACAAGATGACTGTCTAGTACTCTAGCTATACGAGACAATGTAGAGACATGGCACTCTTTTTTTTTCGAAGAACCAGCGGCAAGTGCATGCCTGATATGTATTAACAGAGAGGAAGTTTACAAAATTTAATTAAAGAAGAAAAAAACAAAACAAAACCATCACGTAGGAGTACGACATCAGCGAACCTCAAAAGCAACAACTATCGAACGCCACCTTGCACGCCACAGTGAACAAGCGAACTAGTAGGGGCCTAGGAGGTAGATTTTCCACAACGATGCCTACAAAAAGAGAAACGACATTCACAGATGCCGTCAACGCTGATAGAAGTTTCGGTGTTTCGAGTTGCCACCGACTAGTAAATTTCTAATATTACGCGTCTGACTTAAATGGTGTGCTAAAAGGACACGAGATTTATACTGATTCGGGCAGAATGTCCCTACGTCCAGTTCATTGCTGCTGCTAGTGTTACTAGCACTGAAAGTTCATAGAAGGGGTTACAAACGGTCGAGAGAGGGACAGGTCCCAAGTCTCTGGTGAGAGGAGCGAATGGGCGCCGAGAGCTCGGTCGCTTTCCGGCTGTGTGCTTGTGTGTTCTGATCGGTTCGGGGTTCGATCGGTTCGGGGTTCGATGGGTCTCCGGGGCTGAGGCGATGGAGGCCAGGGCGTCCAAGACCGCCGAGACCGTAGTGGCTGCGGTCGGTGTTTCTGCGTCCTCCGGGGTCGCGATGGCGGGGGCCGGAGCCCCCGAGACCACCAAGGCCGTCGTGATGGCGGCGTGGCCGTCTGTCCAAGAGGCGGAGATGAAGGCGGCGGAGGCCTTGGAGGCGCCCTTGCTTCAGGGGTCGCCGTTGTTGCGAGAGCATGCCCGGGAGGCGGAGGTCTATCCGATCTCCTCGACGATACTTCCTGGGCACGGGAGGTGGTCGACGCCAAGGATGCCGGTGCCGTGGGACAGTCGACGTCGATCTTGGACGAGGGAAACTCGGCCCTTGTGCGGGTGCGACCCGAGCCTCGCGGGTGGGATCACCCGCGGGTATTGTGGCGGAGCTAGGACGACCCTGAGGGGGAGCCTCTGTTCGCCCTCGAGGACGCAGCCGAGGGCGGGCGCTGGGGCACCTTCGAGCAGTACCGTCAGCTAGCGGAGCGGTCGCTTTGGACGGCCCTCTCCGTGGTGGCTGACGACCTGCCCGGAGTCGCCTAGGTTTGTGTTTTCCTTTCTCGCGCGACGTTGTCCTTTTCGGCTTTTGTTACAATCAATGACCCCTGTTCTGCTTCCCCAGGAGCTCGAGACCCGGTCCCTTGGGAAGTCGGTCTTTCTTCGGCGGGAGAGGGGCGTCTGGGACTAGCTTCAGCTGCAGGAGGGCCTTCTCGCCGGTGCCAACGAGCTCCTGTCGGCGCAGAGTGCGGAGGTAGAGGACCTCCGCCTTCATTGTGCCGACACAAAGGTTGAGGCGGCCACGGCCCAGACGCAGCTCGCCCCTCTGGCGGCGCGGGTCAAGGAGTTGAAGGAGGAGCTTACCCGCGTGGCCAACGATCGGGATGCCTTCAGGGGCTGAGCCACTGATGCTGCGGCCTCGGCCGCGGCTCTCGTGGGGCAGCTAGGGGTGGAACAGAGGGCGCACCAGCTGACGAAAGGTGCCTTGGATGAGGCCCTTGCTGCAGCTGAGGCCTCGCGGACCGAGGCTGTGGTTTGGAGGGGGACGGTCGAGGGTGAGTCTTAGTCCCCTCATTTTGTTTTCTTTTCCTTATGTTTGCTCCCTAACTCCCTTGTGTGACGCAGAGCTAGGGAGTGAAGCTTCCAGGGCGGTCGAGGCTTCTCGGGTCGAGGCCTGGCGCTTGAAGGAGGAGGCCGAGGCTTCCAGGGCCGAGGCCCTGCGCTGGAAGGAGAAAGCCGAGGCCTGTCAGGTCGAGACTCGACACTGGGAGCTGAAGGCCAAGGGTGAGTTCCGTGGGCTTCCTCTCCTAATTTAGGTTGTTTTTTCCCTCGCTCAACCTTACTCTATTCTCCATGGTGCAGTCGTCGAGGCGGAGGTTACTCGGGCAAAGAGGCTTCCAGTAGCAGGTGCAGACGGTGCTCGATAACGAGATCGGGGAGCACGAGGCACTGAAACGTGCTGCCCTTTCTGCCTGCGAGGCCTTGGAGGTTGAAGGGGTTTAGTCAGACAGCTCCCTAGGAAGCCATTTGACCGCGCTGAGCAACCAGATGCGCGAGCGGCTCCGAGGAGCGCTGCACACGGGTGTCAAACATGCGCTGGCCATCATCTCTTCTCACTACGTCGGCGTCAACCTCCCGGCCATTAGTGATGGGTATGTCCTACCTGATGATGAGGAGGAGGCTGACATGGTGGTCATGAAGCTGATGGAGGCGGCGGAAGGCCCTGGCACGGCGCTGGCGATGCTCTTCGAAGAGGAGGTGGTTCCTCCCCTACCATCTGCCGGTGCTGAAGGCCCTAAGCCTTGATCTGGGCCCTGGGGGCTATGTAAAAATAGAGTAGGAGTTATTTTTATATCATAACGCTTGTGGCCGTCGAGGCCTTTATTTTTAAGTATTTGTGTTTCTTAGTTGTTTTTCTCATGTTTCCAAGCCTCTGCCCTCTGTTGCTCCTGATCAGATTTCGCTTTGCAAAACACCCCCTTGGGGTTAAGCCGTCCCTTGGGCGAGAGGTAGTGAGGGAGTGCCGTAGCCCGGGGGCGTAGGCCGTCTCGCGACTCTACCGGCCTCTTGCTTAGGAAATAGACCTTGGTCCGAGGGGTTTTTACAACCGATTTGTCAGAGCATGCTAGAGTCTTGGCGTAGGAATTTTTGCGAAAAACGACTGAAGAATGGTGCGTGGGACCTAGGGGGAGTCCCCCATCTAGCCCCCAAGGGAGGCTTGGTTCTGCCGAGGCAGAGCCGAGTCTCTCTTGTCATGTTACTGTATTGCCGAGACCTATGATAGGCTCGGGGGGTTTCTCAAAATATTTAGACCAACTAAAGAACGCTTTTTAATTGTATTTTGAGAAACGACATATACAATGCTTGAAAATTTAGGGATAAAAGCGACGTAAGCTGTTCTATGTTCTAAGCGTTGGTGAAGACTTCGCCCTTCTCGTTGGCCAGCTTGTAGGTGCCGGGCTTCAGTACTTGGGCGATGATGTACGGCCCTTCCCATGGTGGGGTCTGCTTGTGATGGCCCTTGTTGCTCTGTGCTAGCCTGAACACCCGGTCGCCTACCTTCAAGTCTCGACTTTGGACATGTCAGGCCTGATAACGCCGTAGGCTATGCTGGTATTTGGCCGAGTGTAGTAGCACGACGTCTCGGGCTTCCTCCAGTTGATCGAGGGCGTCCTCTCGGGTGGTGCGGTTACTTTGTTCGTTATAGGCTTGTAGCCTCGGGGAACCATATTCCAAGTCAGTGGGGAGGATGGCCTCGGCCCCATAGACCAGGAAGAAAGGCGTGAACCCCGTGGCTTGGCTTGGAGTGTTCCTCAGGCTCCAGATGACCGATGGGAGTTTGGCGAGCCATTTCTTGCCAAACTTTTTCAACCGGTTGTGAATCCTTGGCTTGAGGCCTTGTAGGATCATGCCGTTGGCACGCTCTACTTGGCCGTTGGTCCTTGGGTGTCCTACGGCCGACCAGGCCACACGGATGTGGTGGTCGTCGCAAAACATCAGGAAGTTTTTGCCGGTGAACTGTGTCCCGTTGTCGGTGATGATGGTGTTGGGGACTCCAAATCTGTGGATAATGTCAGTGAAGAAGATCACTGCCTGCTCGGATTTGATTCGATTGATCGGATGAGCCTCGATCCATTTGGAGAACTTGTCGATTGATACCAGTAGATGGGTGTAGCCCCCGGGGGCCTTTTGCAGGGGCCCGACCATGTCGAGCCCCCACATGGCGAACGGCCACATGATGGGGATGGTTTGTAGGGCCAGGGCCGGGAGATGTGTCTGCCGAGCATAGTACTGGCATCCTTCGCAGGAGCGTACCAGCTTGGTAGCGTCGGCGACCGCCGTCGGCCAGTAGAACCCTTGGCGGAAAGCATTCCCCACGAGCGTCCGAGGCACCGCATGGTGCCCGCAAGCGCCTGCGTGCAAGTCCCAAAGCAGGGCTCGGCCTGTCTCGGTAGTGATACATCGTTGGAGGACACCTGAGGGACTTCGCCTGTACAATTCGTCATTGTAGAGGACGTAGGTC